CTCGTTTTCAGATCGGAAGGTGCCCGGTTCTGATCTCCTTCAGGTCTTTATTTGCTGCAACAATTAAATTAATCTTTGAAAGTTCTCTAATAAGTCTTATTGAATTTCGGATTCAAGACATTTTTGAAAACAGTGGTAGCTTCTGTTGCTTGAGGAGCTGCAATTCGCAGTGTATCTGTCTAATTATTTTAAATAAGGGAGTTTTGATTACTTAATAAGAACCAGTTTACACCTTCATCGTAACACTTTGAGTAGGGGTAGTAAAATAAATAAATCATTTTAAATTTATCATATATGTTTATGATTATTTATCCTGGTGTTTTATGTCATGCCAATTATTCCTGTTATAAGGTCGGATTCAAGTCACAAATTCTTGAGTATAGAATCGGGACTTTGAGAGGATTAATACAAGGTCCATGGAATTAAAACAAGCATGCATTTTCGGAACATTCTGAAATTTTATTTTGGAACTCTTTGCATAATGCAAGAAAGGTAACAGATTTCTTTTTAACTGGAAGTAATTAACACACACGAATATATCTACTATCGAACCAATTAAAAGTTCACACACAAACACAGAACGTAGCAATACTATTCCTTATTCACTATTTAAGTGAATTAATGCTTATTAACATCGCAATATGAAGTTGCACGAGGCGTGAGGCAATTAACAACCACATTCACTGTCAAATTCTAACATTAAGCTTTGATCCACTGCAACAGTATTTTTATAAAAGCTTTGCTGTCATTTTAATACTTCTAGTGGTATCTTCTCAAATATATAACCACTCATGGCTCTTCTAGATTTTTCTCGGATCATTTACTTCTAAACAATCTTTAATTTTTGAACTGCATAGTGAATGTTGATTAATATCATGTACACACGTTAAATCACAGAATCTAAATAAAATCCCCAAACAATATCAACAAAATCTCCAAATTTATTTCCCCAGTGTAGAAAGTATATATATAGTAACACTTAATCCAGTGTCCGTGCAATCGAATGGTAAAGGTTACAAACTTGTTGCCAGAGTTGTTTTTGAGACGTGGGTTTGAGTTTTGGTTCTATTAACTCGTTGGTGTGGTATGGTACATATAAGAGAGAGAGGGGGAGGCAGCTCAGGTGTCGTCCATGGTTCAGAATTGCGAGGTTCGTCACCCAAAGCCCTCGAATAGCTGAAGAGTGTGGCGTTAATATTCACTCACTCACTTACTGGTTCTACTAAACACCTATCATGTACAGGAGCTCAAAGTCTTCATTTTGGGGTGGCGTGGAAGTTAGGAGAGAAAGATGGAGGCTCAGATCTCACCTTAGTCCAGTACTTCTAAAACTTCTAATACTTGCGACCCAATATTCAATCACAATTTTCATCGCCCCTCCCCCTCCATACAATAATGATGAATTGAATTCGATAATACGATGCTTTGACAATAAAGCTACAATACGACTTTAACCTCTTCGCCATCAGTGTATATAAACGTCTCACTTACCCATTGTGTAAATTGCCACGGACGTGTACATACGTCTGTCCTAAATAAGCTCACTACTATCCGTAAAATTATTCTGAAGGCTTTGGAATGCAATAAAATGATCTTAACATTGTTTGAGAAGGATTTACTTATTTTCCCTTTCTCCCTCCCCCAAACCCAAATACACCACAACACCACATATGTATGCATACGTTCAAAACGGTGGCATTGGGCGTAAATCGCGTTACTTTTAACCTTGAGTTAAGGGATTAATTATAAGTCGTACAAATGATCCAGATAAGTGTTAACTTTTTCATATAATGTTATGTATGACCAACCGGTGCGCGGTCACTGGTGATTATTAAACCTGTTCTTAACTTAGTATTGTTAAGGTAATTGTGCAGCACTGATACATTTATAATTGTATTTTTTTCCATTATGACTGAATGTATTTTCTTTGTTTTACTTAAAAAAAAATTAACAATTTTTTTGAAATAATCTTTTGTTTTTGACTTTTCAATATGCTCGCTCCCCCTTCTAGTATTATCTCGCCCCTCTAGGGGGGCGCGCCCCACAGTTTCAGAAGCGCTGCCTTAGTCACTTGCCCACGATTCCAAATTCCTGAGTGTATTGCTAATAACCCTTGTGTTGTTTTTAAACACACACACATACACCACCCACACGGTTGAAGGAAGGGAACGACTTCGAGCTGTAGCACTTCACGGACGTACCTGTTGTTATTAAGATTACTTTCAATTCGTAGCAAATTGGATCGTTCATGATACGAAATCGCACCCCAAACCATAACTCCGGGTGTCAGGCCACTGTCGTACGATAACGCACTCTGGAAGGCAACGTTCACTGGCATAGAGTCTAACACTCTATTCTAATTCTAATTAATCTGAAAAGACAACTTGGTGCCAATCACCTTGCCAGGCTCTGTGCTCATGAGCCCATTGCAAACGCAGATAGCTGTCTATGGTTTGTCGTGAGGGGCATCCTGTATAAAGGCACCCTTTCACGCAATCTATTGAGCAGAAGACGTTGACGAATTGACGAAGCCGACATTAGTACACCTGTAGCAGTAGAACAACGTGCTGTCGACAGCCTGGAGGAAGTTGAACGGTCATTCACCGGGAGCAGGTTTCACTCGTGTCACGTGGTGATGTCACCTTCTGTCGTCCACTGCTAGTTTTTAGAAGTTGTTCGGTGCTCGTCGATCGACTGCTTCCCCACTCGCATCACTGTGGAACGGTTCCGCTGCACACGAGCTCCTATTGCGTGATAGGAAAATCCTCCTTCTAGAAGGCCGATAATATTCCCCCGTTCAAACTCCGTAAGATGTTGGAATTTCTCCTTATTTCGTAGTGGAGGCATTCTTAGGTCTCACTAAATGTTCGCCACTAACAAATAATCATTAACTATTTTCAACGTCCCGCTACAGCCCTCTATTTATTCACTTTCAGCATCAGTTCAAAGCCACCACTCTTGCGTGGCTTTGAAACTTTACTATTTTACGTAACATCCTATAATTGATATTTGTTGCAAAGTTCATTTAATTCTGATGATTCTTTCATGGCATTATATTTTTACTAACAGAAGTCTATATATAGCATAAAACAGTTGCAGAATATCGGCAGTAAAAATTAAATACTAAGTAAATAGCATCGTTATTTTTGAAGTTCACCATTGAAACATAAAGGGAAAACAACGGGTAAGGTTAATATCTTATTTCGACGTTTTCATGTTGAAGATAAATATTTTGATAAGGCAATACATGGGTCGGAAAAATAATCTTAAATAGTTACCTGAATTTCTGGGCAAACATGAAAAATAAAAGAAAGGAGAAAACATTCTCTGATGATATAACGATAACACTCCAAAATAGCTCGCGTGGGAGCTAATAACAGGAAAACGAAGAATTGTGTCCAGTGGGTTGGTGTTAACTCAAAAAGTGATGAAAAACATTTCGCACTACCGTAGAAAATGGTTAAATGTGTTTTTAATTATAATAGAGAATGTATTTTAATCTACTATTTTGTTGAAAACAACACACTTATATATAAATAGTTTTACCGAAATAAAATTTTTATCATCCTTTTTATACTTCGTTTCTTCATTTTAAAATCATTTCCTGGTTTTTATTTAGAATTTTGAGTGATCTGAATGTTTTGCCTTTGTTGGAAATTGGAAAAAGTTACTTTTATAGTTTCTTGCAGATTTAGTTAGTTGTTTTTCAGTTCTTAGTTCACTCTTTTGCTATATATATATATATATATATATATATATATATATATATATATATATATATATATGAAAGAAATATGTATTATATATCAAAAACAAGAAATAATAGATAATGAACATAACAAGAAATAGCGTAATAAAAATACAAAAGCTGAACATGAAGAACAAAATTATAGAGAAATAAAAAAAAAGAGACTACAAAAAAAGAACCTAGCGAGTCAGAAAGCAATTTCGGACTTAGGACCGAATAAGTGGGGTTAAACTAGTTTGAAGGCGCCAACCTTCCACCTTTGCAAATCGGTAGGAAAAAACAAATAAAATAAAATAAACAAAAATTCAGAGTATGTAAAGACTCAGAGAGTATGATAAAACCACTCACTACTATTATGTAACAAACTCTCCCAAACTCTTAATGCAGAAAAATCGCAAAATAATTACGTAAGAAAAGTAGAAAAATCCTAAAACAATTACATAAGAAAAGTATTTTTTAAAAAATAATTTAACAAAATTTCTTTACTCACAGAGCTTTTACAACGAGAATCAAGCATCTTGACATCAATGAAAATCAATTATTCACCAAGTTAAAAAATTCGAATATACATAAACACATCTTTTGAGCTAACTTTTAAACCAGCCAGTAAAGACAGATATAAAAAAAGACGACAATCAAATATGGTAGAATTTGAATGGTTGATTGTCAAAAATGTAAATTTGCTAGGCTCTAATTTGGTTGGTTGTCAACAATGTGTAAGATGTTCAAGATGTGTGTGGAAAAAATGTAAACTGTGATATGAGTGTTATGATATAATCTTCACAGCAAGACCACTAACATGCTGACTTTGAAATCCTATTGTTGTGTGGTGGTTTTGGAATTAGAAGTATCAAGACGGTTAATGTATTTGTGATGAATATAAGTTCTTAAGAAATTAAAAGGGTATTCACATGATCTAAACAACATTGAAAAAATTTTTTAAAATTTTTTTCCTATATATATAGGAAATTATTAACGATTGAAAAAATTTGAACAAGATATATATATATATATATATATATATATATATATATATATATATATATATATATATATATCTTGTTCAAATTTTCAATCGTTAATAAAATACTTTCTATTCATCAATTTCATTTTAAACTTGTAGTGGATGACACTTAATGTTAATATAGTTTTTTCAAATATGAATTAATTTGTTAAATTAAAAAATGTATAAATAGAAACAAACAAAAATAATAGTCCAACAGCATATATAGAAAGGAAAATCGTTAGTTGTGTCCCTGTAGCGCAATGGATGGTGTGTGTGTGACCTGGACTTCTAATCCAAAGGTCGTGGGTTTGAATCCCATCTGGGATGGTCTAATTTCTGAGAATGTGATTTTTTTATACTATTTTTTTAGAATAATTAAATTTAATTCATGAATAAATAGAAACAAACAAAAATAAAGTCCAACTCCTTATGTAGAAAGGAAAAAAGGAAAATTTTGCAAGGAAAATCGCTTTCTATTTTATCATTTAACATTGTGATTTTGTCATTTGTATATACATATTTATATTAATTGTAACTATTTAATAAAAATTAATTAAAATAAAATTTTTATTTGTAGGAATTGGTTAAATTTTTTTTTATATTACTTGTTAATGATTTTCTCGACTTACGTTACCCTGACTTTCGAAAACCTGAAGTTAGGCAATTGTCAAATCTCGTTGATTCATTGTTGTGTTGTGACTCATGCCACCTGCCTGACGAAGTCAGGTCGAGGCCTGCGAAATTTATCGTGGATAAGGGCTAGAATTTACGTCTGTCGTTAGCCTTAGCACCATGGTTTTTGCTTGGTACCACCCCAATTTAAAGGGAGGAAAACCTGGGGTGGTCAGGGGACTCCCACCTCTCTTCCCCTAACCACACGAGAGGACTTGTGGCTCGACGGCTATTTAGAGTACCCCATGTCGCTAAGGCACTATACATTTACAAACATCCATGTCTTCTCCGGGATTCAAACCCAGTCCCTACGGCATCGCAGTCAGCGTCGCTAACCACTTTACTGGTTGGGCGACCGTTGATTCGTATTTTGTTTGATCGCTTCACTACTCCATTACTCCTTCCTCGCTTTCCGTTTAGCTAATGTACGTGATCGAACGTATCACGAGAAATCAACGCTTAGCCGCAATAATTTATTTTGTATTATTTAGATATTATCTACGGAGTGTGTACTTTGTATTGCATGTTGCAATTATTATACCGTATTTGTAATATGAATTACATCTACTCAAATTTGAGAGAAGACTATGTTTCTGAACGATGTAGAACTCATTTTTCTGCACTAAACAGGTAATGCGATTTAAGTTGTTGTGATCTTGGCAGGCAAATAAATTTAGAAGTGACTGATGATGACGTTCAAGAACTGTTGCATTACCACAATCAGGAGTTGACAATGGATGACCTCATAGAAATGCATGGGAAAGGGCAAAATATTGAAGAACTTGAGTCTTTTGACCAGGGGTATTCAACCCTTTTTTTCTATAGGGCCGCATTCATATAGCAAATATTTCACGCGGGCCGCATACACATGGAAAATATTTCACACGGGCCACAACATGAAAATTAATGGAAAAAACAGTATAAGATCTAGGCAATATTGGATACATAAATACAGGCCACATGCGGCCCGCAGGTTTAGTATCGCTGCTTTAGACCCAGTTCGAAAAATCGAATGATGGTTGGGAATTATAATAAATGAGCTGTTTAATATTGAAAAAGGGTTACAAATTTTAGAAAATAGACTCCAATGAAGAGTGTGTATTTTTTAAACAAAACATAGAAAAAAATTATTAGCATGCTACGAGTAAATTTTGCAGAAGAAAAGAAATATTTGAGCAGCGCAGACTACTTTGCGTTACATTTTATATGAAACCTTCTCAATCAAAAAACTTTAATTTGTGTTATGTTAGATTTCATTAAACATCTTATTTCTGAATTATTTTCTTTCGTATCCGACCCCTACTAAAAATGATTCATGTACATGCAATTATATACGAAAGTATACCCTGACATACGCGGTTATCACTCAGTCCCGTCTCTATTGCGTAAGTTCGTGGTATTACTGTACAACTAATTAAATTTTGGAAACTATTCCTCTTTCCTGGATCAATGTTTATAATGCGATGTCAGTACGCTGTGATTGAAGATTTAAATATTAAATTGATTTCACTGAAACAAGTAATGTAAAAAAATTGTAGGTCAATTCCTACTTAGACCAAGAAAGAAAAATTTTACTTTGGTTATTTTTTTTATCAAATATTTGCAATTAATAAAGATATGTATATACATATAACGGAATCACAATATTAAGTGGCAAAATAGAAAGCGATTTTCCTTGTAATTTTCCTTTCTACATGTGATGTTGGACTATTATTTTTGTTTGTTATCATTCATTCATTTTCTGTTTTTCTTCGTTATTGACATAACGCTCCTCGCTGGTGCGCTTTAGATTGCATACTCTTTCGCCATTCGTGTTGGTGTGGTAGACAGGAGAGGGAGGTGCCAGCTCGCTCAGGTATGGTTTTCTTCACTTGACCATGACCCAAAATTACGAGGTGCGTCACCAAATGCTCTCGAGTAGCTGAACAGTGTGACGTTAATATTCCTTCATTCCGTCATTTGTAATAAAATCTCTTGAATCCTCCTCTACAAGTTTTGAAAACGTATTTGAACCTGAGTAGATTAATAAAGAGTATTTTATTAATGATTGAAAATCTGAACAAGATATATAAATACGGAGAGCTTGAATTAATAGTAGGAATTGAAAAATAATTGTAATTTTTCAATGTAAGGAAACAAAAGAAAATTCCTAACGACACGCGGTGTCCCCAGGTGGTCACTCTTCCAAGTACTGACCACGCCCGATGATGCTTAACTTTGGTGATTGGAAGAGAACCGGTGTTTTCAAAATAGCGTGGCTGTTGGCAGTAACAACTGGACAATTTTAGTAGAAAAGCATAATCAGATTATTAATGAAATTTAATTGTATTGAATTAATATTTGAAAAACTGTATCAACATCAAGTGTCATCCATTACAATTTTAAAAAATGAATTTGAACTTGAGTGGATGAATAAAAAGTATTATATTAACAACTGAAAAAATTTGTGAACAATATATATAAATAAATATATATAGGGAAAGTGTGAACTAATACTAGGAGTTGAAAAATATTGGAAGAATTATAACTAGTAAGAGTATTTGTATTTTTCATACCATTTGAAAGAATTCACTCTCTGTTTTTAAAATTTTGATTTAATTTGACTTAAAAAACCGACGTTGATGCCATTATTTAGAAATTTTTATGGAATAATTATCGATGGAAATATATCCGTTATACTGCAGAATTTCTTGCTGTTGAATGTAATCATGTTTTCTGTTTACTTAAATGCTTTTTCTTACTAACTTAGTTTCCCAGGTTGTTAATAATCAAGAAATTTGTTATTCGCTTCTCTTAATGTTTGATAATCTATTATAATACGTCTCTGGTATTTTCTCATAAATGATCCTAAATATTTACAATTTCCTATAACAATAATTCTTATCAATTATTCATCAAGCGCAGTTAAAAAGTATCTTTCTAAGGCCTCGGATTACTTATCAGTTATGAAAACGGAAGCCATAAAGCAATTATAATAATATCTGGTTATAAAACAATTAAATTTCGTTTTATATTTCACACAAAAGAGACATTTATTAAACTCCTATAAGAAAAATTGCTGTATAGAAAAAACACACAAACAAAATAGCATCTAAAATTTATAATCATTTAATGTAAAAAACTTATTTTAATTCCAATTGAGAAGTTAAATTAAGGTTACCCATTAATGTTTTTCATTTTCAATGGCAATCCGCTTAAGGCTTTTCCTTTATTTTTTAATTATTATTGTAATAGATTCCTTGGTGTATAATTATATTTATTACTGTGTAATTATTTTTGGTTATGGATTATTTTGTGTGCTAATTTTATAAACCTCTCCTCGTTTCGCACAAAACTTGCATTATTTTTGATTTTTGGCTTGAAAATTATATTTTATATGTATTTATTTAAGCTGTAAATTTTAAATAATTTTATGGATTTAGAAAGAGTATGGGTTGCATATTTTTTCTATCTTGTCACAATATTATCGGTTTTTCTAACTATTATTTATGATTCAGCAGTTGTGGTGTTGATGTGGAGGATGGAATGGATACTAAAAAAAGAGAGTATATATATATAAAAGAAATATGTATTATATATCAAAAACAAGAAATAATAGATAAAGAACATAACAAGAAATAGCGTAATAAAAATATAAAAGCTGAACATGAAGAACAAAATTATAGAGAAATAAAAAAAACTACAAAAAAGAACCTAGCGAGTCAGAAAGCAATTTCGGACTTAGGACCGAATAAGTGGGGTTAAACTAGTTTGAAGGTGCCAACCTTCCCCCTTTGCAACTCGGTAGGAAAACTAAATAAAGTAAAATAAACAAAACTTCAGAGTATGGATAACTCAGAGAGCATGATAAAACCACTCACTACTATTATGTAACAAACTCTCCCAAACTCTTAATGCAGAAAAATCACAAAATAACTACGTAAGAAAAGTAGAAAAATGCTAAAACAATTACATAAGAAAAGTATCTTTCAAAAAATAATTTAACAAAATTTCTTTACTCACAAAGCTTTTACGAAGAGAATCAAGCGTCTTGCCATTAATGAAAATCAATTATTCACCAAGTTAAAAATTTCGAAAATACATAAACACATCTTTTGAGCTGACTTTTAAACCATATATATATATATATATATATATATATATATATATATATATATATATATGTAAAGATAATTAAATTAAATCAAAAACTAAATTCCCTATCTAGTACTTAAATCATATTTTTCATTTCATCTTCAAGTATCAAACTAATCACCCATTTATTTCTTCCGAACATATGGCCTAACCAATAAACATGTCTTATTCCAGATCGTTAGATTTAATAGCCCTATATGTCAGCATTAACTCTCAAGCACAATAATAAAATCCGCGATACTTACATCATCGGTGTTTTAAGTGCTAACCCACTTAAATCACACCATGTCATGTTTTTTCCTCTCTGCCTCTTAGCATCAGATGATGTCGAGAATTCATTGAATGAAGTTCCTTTTTAAATTTAAGTCTAATTCTGGCTTAAAACATGTCAGAATTAAAGCCGACAGGATTCTATCTGTGAATAAATTTCGAACCTTAACGCAAAACTTATCTCTTTTGTAAAATAATTTTAATATAAAAACTAACGCCAACGAACGTAATAACTGATATGGAGAATTTGA